TTGAATGTAAGAAATGTCTAATCTATGAGTAGCTGAACTGCAATTAATAGGTCCATTAAAGTTTCCTCTGACAATAATGGCCTAGTTATGCTAGAGTTCTTAGACTTTAAGTTAACACCCACATGCCTGCTATTGGGATCCCATGAATCTCGGTAACTGTCAAACTCCAGCGCAACAGAATGATGTTTTGCTGAGTTCAGTGTCTGATCACCATCCACAAGACCAAGACCCCCTCCTTCTTCAATATCCTTTGAAAATGGTAGACCTGGGTCTGATAAGAAGAACGCAAATCCATCTCTAGAATGATTCGTATTTGTTGATAAAGCAACAGAGAACTTTGTCTGGAAGTCATAGTTTTCTTGAGGCCTTATCCCAGAGTTGCATTCTTTGTGTGCTAGTGACTCATCCAACATGGTAAATATCATCTCGATCCAATCCACCTGCACTCAAATCGACCCTTGAACATAAATCAAGACATCTTCCAGCTTCAGATCATCTTCCTTAAAAGTGGGGTAAACAAAAGACAAGGAATATGCAATTTCTGTACAAGTTGTGAGGATGAACAAAACAACTGTTATTGTGTGAAAGAAAAGACACCAACATGGCGAGCTTCCATCTTGTTCTGAAGCCTACCAGGCATCGTTCTATCTCTATTGCTTAAAATAGAAGCTAGACAAAAGCCTATATGCATAGATGTAAATTTGTCATTATCCAGTTACTTATGAAATATTTTTATTCCTTTTCTTCTTGTGCCTGTCTTTAGGATATTATTGCAGTCTTCAATCTTGGAAGTTCCTCCATAGCTTTCAAGAGGCAAAACTCATAGGATTCTCCTACAATCATTAGCATTTGGTGCTATATTGTATGGGTGCACCCAGAATATTGATAATTGATTGAAAGGCTTGAGTGTGAACGCTCCACAATGTAACTAAGTTCAATATGCGCTGGCTTATTTATTTTAGTAAATTATTTATGATGATTTGCATTTTCTTAATTATGAAATGTTTTTTTAATTGCATATAGCTATTCTCATATTAAAAATAATCATGTTTAAAATACTGTTGGACATTACATGCAGGCACTTCTTTTTGAGAAGATTCAAACTTTAGTTTGTCATGTTATAAGAAATTGATTCTTTCTTCTAGATGATTATTAAATTTTTGTGATAGTAATAGATGACAAAATTTGACTTTTATGGTTGTCCTAACAAAATATTAATATTGTATTGCATAGCATTCCTGAAGTTTATTTTTCCTTCCTCATTCTTGGTTATCTAAATTCCATTGTTATTCATGGCTCAAAAAAGAAAAAATAAAATAAAATAAAAATATCCCTATTTTATTCATCTTCTATCACAGATCTTAATATTTTCATTTTTTTCCTTATGCACATAATTATATATTCATCTTTTGGAGAAATTTTTGCATGGGCTTAGTGCACAATGTCATCCATGCTCTATTCAACAAAATTGCACTAATTTGATCTAATAAAATCATATATGTCATTATTTTTAAAGACTTTATTTTTAGAGTTGAATGCCTATTTAGTTTTTTACCTTTTCTTTATGCACAGCCAATTTAAATGACATGTTTTTATTGGATGGAGTATAATGATGTGGTGCATCAGGTGTGTTTTACTTTATTACTGTTAATTATACTGTATTCAAGCGAAATTATCATTTCTTTTTCGTTGCTGATAGAGAGAAAAGATTGATGATTGGTGCCATCCAAAACCAAAAGTGATCAATTCAAGACAGGAAATGAACTTCCAAAAGAGGAAGGGAAGAAACATATTTAAATTATATATATAATGTCCACCTTTTTAAATTTTTCTTATTTTTCTTTCGATCACACTTGCTGGTAGATTTGCCCATGTGTTTCTTTCTTTAGTCTTTACATCATTTTCTTCATATTTCATACAAGTAATATTTATTAAAAGTAACTGTGTGTATTTAATTTCATATTTTATGTAATTCAATTTTTTAGCTGAGGCCAAAAAATTATTGATTTGATCCTGAAATTGCATTAATTTCAAGCTCTACACAGACTTAACTTTAAAGAGGTTCAATCATTTTTGGGGATTTAATCGATGTGGGCTGTCTAACGACATGCCAGGCATTCGTGCGTAACTTGAGGCCCAGAGTTGTGAAGAAGGCTGATTAAAAATCAACCCAAATGTCAAACTTAAAATTTTGAATATATTCAATTGAATTCCCTTATTAATTCCTCTCAAACCAATTATCTACCTTACAAATACAAAATATACATACATAAACAAGAAATGACAAATAATTATACATACATAAACAAGAAATGACAAATAATTAAGGACCCCTGAAAAATACCAAGAATATTTTTTACAATTCAAATATCAAGAAATTATAAATGAAAGTCTTTATTTCATATTAACTTTTTTACAAGGTGTTCAATTGCCATTCTCTCTAAATAGCAAGCAACTTAACAACAAGGGAAAAAAAGTAAATTGATTTCTAAACTATAAGTTTATAAGTATCTAAAATTCTAAACTCATTTTTTGTATAATATTTTTTCTTAATTTTTTTAAAATAGTATAATTTGGACTTGTTATTAATAAAAGTTAATTTTGATTGTTAGTTGATCAGAAAATAACCTCAAAAATTATAAAAAAAAGACCAAAAAAATTGCAGACGAGGACCCACAATATTACATAAAAGGATCAAGAAAATTTTATTGAAAATTTTCTATAATATTTTATATTTTTTCTACCCAACTAATAGTTAAAATTAATTTTTATCAATAATAAAAGTTAGATTATACTATTTTTAAAAGTTAAAAAAAATATTATTAAAAAAATGAGTTTAGAGTCTAGGTCCTTGAACCTATAACTTAGGAATTAATTTATTCTTTTACCCATATCATTACGTTGTGTAATATAGCACTGAGCGTCAATGAAAGAAGAAAAGTTAAAATAATCAAATTTTATGAACTACGCATTGAATACTAGAAAGAAAGGGTCATGAGGGCAGAGTCACAGAGACGTGAATAAGACTGAAAGACTTTTTACGAAATCTTAACTTGCTTCCTCCAATGAATAAATCAATTACAACTCCGGTCAAATTGTGAGACATTTCTTTTTAGCTAAACTTGGTCTGTGTGGGACATTTAGTGCATATTTGACGCATGGAAAAATGTTTTCTTCTTTTTTTTTTGGAATAGAAATGGAAAATGCATAAGTGTATTTATCATTTCTTTTCTAAAAAAAAACGTTTTTCTACCTATCAAAAAAGCACAAAACATTTCTTCTCACAAATTTTCATAATAATAAGAGGGTTAAGAGCAAAAGACACGTTAAATTCTCACAAATTATCAAAAAACACTTTTCTAAAAAAACATGTTATTTTTCATGGAAATAATGCGACAACTATTTTTATTAGTACGTGAAATATAGTTTGGAGTGTTTTACAATTTAGACTGGCTCGAGAAAGTATATAATAAACACACATCACACCATCCTTAATTTTAACTTTATTTTATTAATTGTATATAATATATAAGATGATTCGGACGCCACCCGCTCAGATGATATCAAAAGAGAGATAGTGGTGGTGAGAGACCATCATGCACAAATATAAAAAATTGAATCAGATACAATACATGTATTTTTATTTAAGAAAATATAAGATATGATATGTTTACGCGCGTGCATATATATAAAATCATAAAACACACTAAAAATATATTCTTGAATCTAATCATTTTGTTTTGATTATTACTTCTCCTTTTTTTAACAAAAAGTATTACTTCTCCTATATCATATAAGCTATTGAAATAAAATAAAATAAATTTACAAACTAATTTAAAACATAAAATTGCGGAAATAATTTAAATTAAATAGTAAAATATATTATCAAATAAATAAAAAATTATTTATGGAACCATAAAAAACATATTTTCTAAAAAATTTAATCTTTGATTTTAAAATCAAATTATAAAAAATATATTAGGAATAAAAGATAAATATGATAATCTTTAACAAAATTTCTTAAAAAATGCATTGAAACTCACAAATTCAAAGTATCAATACATGTGAAAATTTAAAAATATTTTTAATTGAAAATAATATCTTGCTCCATTACATATACACGCTGGATAAGTATTGACACTTATCAGTGTCAAATACAATATTAAAACAAATACATCAAGCAATTTGAAGCATTGATGCTTTCAAAACTGATAAATAAGCAATTTATTTTCTGGGAGATTAAAATTTAGAAAAAAAAATATAAACATGTCTTACATAAAAAAAAATTATTTCCTTAGTACCATTTACTTTTCAATCTTATGTATTTAGAAGTTAATAACATTTGGGATATTAATCTTTTCATTTAAGACCTATATGTAATTATCCATTAAATTAAAATTCCATCCACCCTTTAACTAGGATCAAGACCTGTTCCCTGTTCGGTGTCACACAAGAGTTTTCCATGGGAGTAGAATTATTACCAATGGAAGTAGAATTGGAAATACATGTGACTTCATATATTATATTGAAGCAATTATGCATGTATATTTAGGCCTAGAGTTGCGAAGAAGACCGATGAAAAGGTCAACTCAAATCTCAATTATATTGTTAATGAACGGGTCCAGCCATTGATTAATCCATTAATTCCTCTTGTTGCAGTCCAATTCACTAATTATACATGCACAAAAAAAAAAAAAAAGAGCAAGTGCATGAAATTGGAGCACGTCTTTCTTTCTTTGGGTTTTTTTTTTTTTGGGCAAACAAGTCGGAGCATGTGTTTCTTGAAAAGTCTACTACGACGTCGATCATAATTTAAAAAATTATAAACCTGGGAAGGTGTAGTTATTAATAAAGAACGGTTCAGACAAAGCAAAGAGGAATCAATACCAATTCAAAAGGTAATTAATATATTTGTTTTGATTAAGTCGAAACTAAAATACCAATTCAATAATGGCAGGTCCTCCCTCCAACTATAGATAGATCACAACAACAGATGCATTTTGCCACAACAAACACACAATTCAAAGAAATTAAGGTTTTGAGAATTCAGAGATGAAAGATTCATTAGTGATCTCTCTTTTTGCCCTCTTGGCTTTGGCTTCCTCATTTGCTTCTGCCTATGACCCCAGCCCTCTCCAAGACTTTTGTGTCGCTCTCAATGATACCAAAGTTGGAGGTACACACACATACGCACAATATATATAATACCATGCATATTGCAAGGATTTCCAAAAGTGACATATTGCTAAAAATGGAGCCTACTATTTTCTCTCTATAATCTCTCTTCACTTCGAAGCTAATTGATTGTTCTTGTGTCTGTGCTTTTGTGCAGTATTTGTGAATGGGGAATTCTGCAAAGATCCCAAGCTTGCCAAAGCAGAAGACTTCTTCTACCACGTAATGCCAGGTAACACATCCAACCCATTGGGCTCCAAAGTGACTCCAGTGACTGTGCAAGAAATTCCAGGACTCAACACTCTTGGTATTTCCCTTGCTCGTGTCGATTTCGCACCATACGGTTTGAATCCTCCCCACACTCACCCTCGTGGCACTGAGTTGTTGATCGTCATCGAAGGAACTCTCTTGGTTGGATTTGTGGCTTCCAATCAAAATGATAACCGCCTCTTCACCAAAGTCCTCAACAAAGGAGATGTGTTTGTGTTCCCTATCGGTCAGATTCACTTTCAACTCAATATCGGGCATGACAATGCTGTAGCCATTGCAGGTCTCAGCAGCCAAAATCCAGGAGTGATTACCATTGCTAATGCTCTGTTTAAATCCAATCCTCTCATCTCTCCTGCGGTTCTCACTAAAGCCTTCCAAGTTGACAAGAGCATAATTGCTTATCTTCAGAAGCAATCTTGGTATGACAATAACTAAACAGACCGTCTAGTGCCCATCCGTAATTCTACTTCATGTTGATTTCTGTTTCATTCAACTCCAATTATAACTTTTTTTAGTGTCCAACTCCAATTGGATCTTTTAATAAATAAATAATTAATACCCCCGCAGGCTTACGTTGTACCTTTTCTCTGTTTGTAATTTCATTCATTTGGTTTCCTGTACGTGCATGTTTCGTGCGTGCGTGTACCCACTTCAATAAAACTACAGTTTTGTGAAACAATGTTGTACGTTTCATATGTGCTTAGTATTATTTTCTTTTCCCTTCCTTCAGGCAAACAAATACATCCCACTCGAGCTTTGGGGGGGAAAAAAAGAATCTTGCATTAATTCTCTTTTTTTTCCCCTGCTAGAATGCCAACAAGATGTTGGCAATAGCGTGAAATCTAGTCTGAGTCATGCCCAAGGATACTATCCTTAAGAGCTATTCTGCCACACCAGGTTCATCGCGCGGCAGCTCCTCAGGATTAAACAAACTCTTCCTACTAAAAGTAGAGACACAGAACAACAAAAATTTATAGAATATACTCATGTAACTACTAGTATGATAGAAGAGGAGAGAAAGGTCGAGAGTATCAAGTCTCTCTCTGAACTTGTGGCAAGCATTGCCTTTTATAGGCAGATCATAATGTTGGACAATAAAACTACCTTAATCACAATTAAAAAACGGTTTCAAATAATAATGTTGTTTAAATTGGACGTTATAAAATAATAAATAGACTTAAATAATAATTAATATTATTAATTTATAATAATTCCTTTTGAAATACTCAAAAATATTTATAATATTCAACAATCCCCTACATATTTCAAAAGGAAGGAATTTTGTTTTTTGAAAAACTATCTTATACAAATAATTTTATATCTCCAAAAAATAGTTTCCAAAATTTTGGAAAATTGCCCAGAATTACATCTAACTTGTGTGCAATTGTATGCAAGAGCCCATTTCTCCTCTAAACTCATTTATTAGCCCAAGATCACATCTTAGTATTTATAAACTAAGGCCTTCATTCATTTGAGCAACATGGGACTTTCCTTTTTGACACAATTGTAACAATCCCCCACATGTGTCAAAAGGACCACTATCATCTGAGTTATTTTCACGGAAGATAATCACTTCAAATTTAGTGTCTTTCAACTTAAACCAAACCTAGACCAATAAAACTTAACACACAGAAAAGTTGGTGTAACTTTGTTATTGAATCAATAAATCTTGATCGTGTGCTAGAGGTCTTATTAGTTAGATTATACCTCCACAATTTCTGTTGTTAATGCGGTTTTGCACGTTATCAGCCATGCGCACGCCTGGTTTTAACAAATGCTCTAGAGATTTTGCCACAATCTCATAGGAGCGGCCCCACTCCACATTTGTATAGGTGTTTTCATTAAGTGTATCTGCAATGAATAAACCATCCATAAGGACTATAAAAAACATTAGGAGCTTTCGCTCAGCATTCGATCAATGCATTCTAGCACTTTCTCAAGCCATAGGAAGGGACAAAAATTTAGTGTTAGCAGAACTAACAAGTGACTTGTTCTTACTCATTAAACCTTCTTCATGGGATCTCCAATCACAAAGGTTGGGTTGCCATCACCGTTAATTTCAAATTGGCTTAAGTCCCATTCCCTTTGACATTTAAATAATTAATCTCTTCCCCAAAGGTTAGTTAACGGATCCTCAGATTTATATCTGATCTTACATAATCGATTGAGATAACTTCTTCTTTTAGCATGCTTAATTATATCTCAAACAATATCTACCTATGCCATTATTCCCTTTGCAATGACTATCGCCATTTGCCAATTACACAAATCATCGACATAATGTGTGTCAGTTTTACTCTCAATGCAATATTATTCACTAAGAAGTTTCTAAACTATTTAGCCTCATTTTTATCCAACTTCAGAGTAATAAACTCTGGCTCAAATAATATTTTATTTGGCTACAAATGAATTTTTTCTCATTGAATATAAAATTCAGTTAACATAATTGCATTATTTTAATACAACAGAAATTCATTATTCATGATACCAATATTTATGGTATCTTTCAAAGGAATTGACTCATCTTCTTATGAGACTATTTGATATGCTCAATCTCCATACAATATAACTATATCATGGGATTAACATTAATTAATGCAGCAAACTCTCTAAAGTTTGTAAATGCATATTTAGATTGAGCAATAAAACCATCCCATTTTCATTTTTAACCATGTTAGCATTATGGGAATACTTGTTGACACTAAGTGTCAGATTTTTTAAAGTAATAAACTCTATGATCCTATTATTATATTTGTTTTCATCACCACTAAGGGTGGATAATCACTAGTGAATATTCTAACATAAATAAATAATTCATTGAACAAGGATCCACTATTCACAATCCCATGATTAAAAAATATTTCATTTTTCTCACATGGACCATAACACATATAAATAAATCGTTATCCACAATAATGAATATTTATGTCAAAAATAAATAGATCATGCACCTATTTAAAATAAATTTATCTACAGTAGATAAATAATTAAATTTTGTACCATCATCACAATGCTTGTTTCAAGCTAAGCCACAAAAATTGCATAATTAACAAATTTTGCCATCATGTACATAATAAACTCCTCTTAATTAATTTTTCTCTAAATCATAATATAATAATATCTTGGTATTTATAAAATGAGGCTAATAATTCAATACAAGACATGTTTTGCAAAATACCCCCACACTTTTAAATATTTCAACCACATGTATAAGAAATATTTTCATATCTTATCAATAATAGTTCTAATTAAATTAGAATCTCTTCATGTAATTTCCTCCCATTCTAATTAAATTAGAATTTACGTCATCACAAAATCTTGTGTACATAGGACAAAACTATCCAGTGCTAATAGAAACAAGCTCAAATTTCAAAGACTCAATAACTTTGAAATCAAACTTATTATAACCCAACATCGTTCATAAAACATTAAATAGTATGTGTGGGATACAACACCTTCATGCTCAATGGAACTCATTAATTATATATTGGCATAAAATCCAATGGCATTTCCAAAACAAATCCAAGGCAAGAAGTAATGTGTTTATCTCATTTCGGCCTATTTTTATATTTTAGACCCAAACAGATTTAATGCATATAAGTGACTGTCACTATAATGCACTCAAGCAATTATAAACTCACAATAATACCAAATTACTCTGCTGTGCATTGTAACATTTCTAAACAATTAACATTGCTATAAACTCTTATTAACATGCATAGCAAAAATAACTCGCCGCCATAAATACAGCACATAAGTTTATCACTCTGAACATATTTCAAACTGGCTAAACACATATTAACACTATTTAAAAATTGATATCTCATTAATGCTCCTTATTTATAACAGCCATAGAAGTTATGGCAAATAATTCACCAAGAAAACTCGTTAGCTACACAATTGAGAAACAATTTATTTCCATAGAAAATTGCAACTTCAATTGCAATCAATTAATGAAAACCAACAATCAAACCTTGATTACTGCTATTTAATTGCATTTTTTTAATAAAATAACTGAAAAAAGGTTTTAAAGACAAATAAACCATCATAATCAGAGTTCATCAGCCATAATAAGTGCCACTTTTAGTGCAATCCCATGTTTCGAATTTCCAATATCAAAGCTTGATTTTTCCTATCAGTTTTTTTTTTAACCAAAAGAACACAAGTAATAGCATTTAATAGACTTAATCTAGATTCTTGCATTATACTGCAACCATTTCTACTACTCTTGCAGCCTTAACAATCTGTGTGAAAAAAAAATATCAAAGCAAGAAGAAGCCAAAGCTATCACTCACATACAATATAAGACTCTTGATGACTCTTCATGAGCACCTCTCCTAGAAACACAGCCAGCATTTGAGCAACCAATGAGGACATCAAACGTGGGTTAATATATTTTTCCAACCTTCTTATTTGAACTGTAATATCATGTGCTTCTATGGGCCAAAACAGGTATGATCACATCAATATTATTGAACACAGAAACCAGCCTGAACTAGATGCAGTGAAAAGCTAACAAGGAAGAAACATGCACTGATGACAAGAGCAACAAGGAGAAACAGCAAAACCGAAAGCTAGAAACAAGCAAGAGTAAGAAATCATCTTAATGATTATTTATTTTTATTTTATTTAACTCCACCATCAGATTTGAACACACCTCAAGACTTTTCTATTTAATCATCATATTTCTCATAATAAAATAGGAAATATATTTGAGAATATAACTATCTCATTTTAGCAGATCTTCTCCTCATTTCAGCAATTTTTAGTGGAGAGCATTCGCCATATATCAAATGCATGGCACAAGGTTGAAGTGAATATGGTTATAGGGCAGCCTAAAAACACATCGCCAATTATAATAATCATGGATGGCCTTGACTGCATGCCCCACACCAAAACATCAGATCCACTGCCCCCAATACCATTATTGTATCCACTCACACCAAAACCTATATGAACTATGTATTTGTGGGTTGAGCATTTGTACTGTTCCCTCATTTCCATTGTTGCTAAAAAATAGCTCTTAAGATTGTTGGCAATAGTTGGTGAAATATAGTTTGAATCGTGCTCAAGGACACTGTCCTTAAAAGCTATTCCGCCATATCAGGTTGATCGCGCGGTAGCTCCGCAGAATTAAACAAACTCTTCCTACTAAAAGTAGGGACATAGAACAACAGAAATTCATAGAATATACTCAGGTAACTACTAGTATGATAGAAGAGGAGAGAAAGGTCGAGAGTATCAAGTCTCTCTCTGAACCTATGGCAAGCATTACCTTTTATAGGCAGATATCATAATGTTGGGCAATAAAACTACCTTAATCATAATTAAAAAACGGTTTCAAATAATGATGTTGTTTAAATTAGACGTTATAAAATAATAAATAGACTTAAATAATAATTAATATTATTAATTTATAATAATTCCTTTTGAAATACTCAAAAATATTTATAATATCCAACACAAGATACTTATGATATTATTGTTGATGATAAGTATTAGTGTTCAGTCATCATTAATTAACCAGTGATACTAGTTTTTATTATGGAATATTGAAAAGGATTTGAACTAAGTAATACATACCAAAAAGTAATGTCAGCCAGAAAAAAATTGAGGGATCAGAACTTTTGTTATGGTCAATAATGTGTCTGAACTTATTCCATTCTTTTATCACCTTTT